CAAAAATTTTCGCACACCACATTTGTGGTGTGAAATTTTAGAATCGCACAACATTTGTGCGTGGTGTTTTGCATTTTTGTGCACAGCACAGTGTTTTTCTGAACCCTGATATTTTCTTCCTTAAAAAATACAAAAAACAATTTTAATTGCCAAATTGCATTTAAATCTTGGTTAGCACAATAACCTATTACGAAACAAATCACTAGAAAGAAAACAGTAGACTCATAGCTGTGTGGAATTTTACTCAGGTTCGTCCCAGATCTCAGATTGATCTAACCTAGATGTAATTAATTATATAGTGCTGACTTATACAGTTGTTGAGTGAAGAGTTTCTTCAATGAAAAAATTCCGCCCGTTTTACATTACACTTAGAGGATTTTTGGAAACATTTCATAACTTATTGATTATCGGTTTCCAATACTAATAAGCTAATTTTTGCGCTGAAAGAATATATTTTTGTGAAATGAATTTACTGTGTGTGGGTCATAGTTTCAAGGTTTTTATTAAAAGAGAGGAGACACGTTTTGTCGGATTAAATGGTAAATAGAGCAGTTGTTTTTAACTTTTGATTTGTTTCAATTTTGCTTCAAGGTTCCCGAATCTGAGTGAAGTTATATATACCTAAATATATTCTGGGACAATTGGACAGCGCACAGTTCAGCAAGTGGCCTCATTGAAGGATTAGTCGAAGTAGACAACGAACCGACTTGGGTTCTTTTTCGTCCTTCAATTCTTGGATATCATTATTGAATTAAAGCCAAAGTGACTTCCATTCGCATAACTATATCCCTTGTTAGTGGAACAACTCATTTAACTTAAGATTGGCTGCCAAATTGTCACGAACCTAATGGGGTCCCTCCTGACATCCTCCTTCTTGTCACTAATTGACATTGGCACAATATATGTATCGCTGTCTCCTTTTCTACTAGACAAACAATATCTTCCCAAGTTTTTTCTTCAACAAGAGTTATCTTTTTGAGGTGATACTTGAAGTTTCCATATCCAGTAATTAATGAGGTCAGTCAACTTAGGGTGCTCCGTGGATAAGTATGCACTTTTATCGTTCTCCTGACCAACAGTTTTGGCATCATAATTTTAGTCTGTCTACAAATGCTCATCTCTCTCCACTTGTTAGGATGAAATGAAGTTATCTACTTATCTGGGCCACAGAATTGGCTTGATTCTTGGTTTGCAGGTTCATTTGCCTTTTCATTTTGCTTAATACCGATATGCTCTTTAACCTACATGACTGTCACATGACATTTCTGTCCCATTAACTATTCTTATAGTTTCCAAAGGCATTTGCACTTCTTTGACCGCAGTCTGGCAGAGGTCAAGAAGTTTTTGATGGCCCACCATTTTTCCGAAGTTATTCCACATAGAGTTCTCTTTATATATAGCAGAAGCAGACCTAGTATCGCATCTAAGGCCGGTGTTGCTGTGATAAGCACCCGATATTCTAACACAGGCTAGTCTCCACATCTTCTTTTCTTTCTATTGCTAATTGTAACTCTTTGATATTAGATCTGATATTTTTTCGATATTAGAAGCGCATGCTGTACTCCAAAGTTCTGTGCCATAGGACCAGATAGGTTTTAAGATTAATTTATATACCAGGACTTTATTTTCCAGGCTTAGCTTGGAATTTTTATCAGTGAACCAATGAAACTGCTGTGATTTGAATTTTACTTAATTTTTTTTTTTGATTTCAATATGCTTAGTTCAAGTCAGCGTTCTGACAAGATGAATGCCAAGATATTTCACATCATTTGACTGGGGTATTATGATATTATGCAACTTATCAGGGGAGTACGTTTTTTTTCGTAAAGTAAACGTGATATAAACACTTTTTGTTTCGTTTACTTTTATACGTTATTTTGTTAGCCACTTTTCCAATAGTCTTAAATGAGTCGAGAGACTTTGGGATGCAGTTACATATATGATCACTATGAGAACTGAAAATTGCAGTGTCATTCGTGAAAAAAACAATGATGTGATTTGAGAATAGTGGGAGATTAGCTATGTATATTATATATAGAAACGGCACCTTTCCTTGAGAAACACCAGCCATTATATCGATTTCTCTTAAGATAAAGGTACTTTTTTCACTCTAAATGTTCAGGAGCTTATAGCTTACGCATATTTTCAGGAAGATAATGCTTTATTTTATACTTCCGACCTTCATGCAAACCTTATCAAAAACTTAGGTTACGTCCAAGAAAACGGTGGAACAGTATTTTTTGTGCTGAAGGGCAGTATGTATTTCTTCAGCAATTTTGTGAACTTGCTCAATGGTACCATGTCAAGTTCGAAATCCAAATTGATGGTTTGGAATCACATTGTTTTGAATTATTATGGGCATAATATTTGACAGCAGCATTTTCTCAAAGATTTTGGATAACTTTGGCAAAAGACTTATTGGTCTATATGATGAGGACAAAGTTGAGTAGTTTCCTGGTTTTAGAATCATTTTTATTTCTAAAACTATCCATTGCTTAGGGTAGTCATCCAAGCGCAACGTCAGCAATAGAAGGAGATTCAATATTAAGTTGGAAGTATGTTATTTGTGGGTTTGGCTAAAAGAGATCCTTTAGATGTTCTGCGAAAATACAACCTTTTTTTGGGTTTTCTAAGTAGTGGGTCATTTTGTATTGGAATTTCAAGTTTTTTCGTTGCCTTCTACAGAGAATTATTGTTTTCTTTAAGTGGATCAAGGACGGGACGGAAAGTCAGATGTTGTGTAATTTGGCAAGTTGGGCTGGGGAATACGCTGTCTTTGGGCAACGTTCTCTTTGTCTTAGAACAGCGAAAACTGGACAACTTCTGTAGTTTGCTGAGTGGTTATCATCGCAGTTTGAATATTTTCTAACTGCTAGGTTTTCTTTGTTTTCAAGACATTTTTCTGAGCTTGGTATTTTGGCCTTATCTAACTTCGCTTTTTTTCTTTTGTGTGGCTTTACACCACCATATATCTGACACATGTATTGTAATAAGTCTGACCATCATCGTGTAGATCCAGTGCGTTGCCTTTGATGTTAGCCACCATCGCCTTTCGCACATTATCTTACACAGAAATAGCTCTTCGTTTTTCCGATCTTTTCATACATAACATATTTCATTCCAAGTCAGTTTGTTATCTAGAATAACTCCCAGATCTTGTTTCCTACCCCATTATTTGATGCATTTGTGATTACTTCTCATTACGTTTTTAATGATGTTTGGAAACTTGCGGTTCACCATCAATGGTACATCGTCCGCATAGTCTTTTGTGAGTATGCCTTTAAAGTCAAACTGTTGAAATAGAGAGTTTATGGTTACGTTCCATAGGAATGGTGAATTCATACCTCCCAGTGGGCAACCTTTGACTGCTCTGCCTCTCAGTCTATGTCTTCCATTTTGCAGGTATCGCTTTTTGCATGAAATCAATCCATCCAATAATGAGCGAACTGAACTCTTGGTCAGCTAGAGCAGATTTCAACTTATCTCTCTCAGCTACCTTAAGTGAAGCTATGCTATGTCTGTTAAGTGACCCGAGCGTGATGCCCATCTTTCGCCAGTAGATAACATTGCCAAACAATCGCAGAAAATTTATAGCTAATATTTATCCATATTAGCACTTGATGCAAGTATAAAATTTCTATATAAAGAAATAATAT